AAAAAAAAAAAAAAAAAAAAAAAAAAAAAAAAAAAACTTAATGTGACTCATTTTCACAAATATATGCTGCATACTCTTTCTTTTTTTCACGCATGCAGTTTACTTGAGCTAAAATAGTTACTGAAAAAGCAAAAAAAAATAAAATAAATGAAAAGTACTCAGCAAAAAAGGATTTTATATACTTTAAACATACAATACAATAGTTTTATCACTTTTATGTACTAAATAAATTTATGATATATAATATATATTTATGTATAATAAAACACTTAAAAATTATGAAAATCTCTAACTTGTGAAAAACTCATGCAAGTTAAAACATGCTTTTAAGATAATTATGGTTATTGAGCTTACATGAGTTTACATTTTTGGCAAAAAAAAGTAAACTCTTTGATGGGTGATACTTCACATACTGTTATTAATCAATTTATAAAGATTTGTGTTCTTACTACGGTTCTAAGACAGTGCACGTAGGAGATTTGGGCACGCAGACTCAAATGGGAAACATAAAAGACCAAAAGGAGTCATCATGGGTCTGCCATAATGAAGTTAAGTAAGCTCCAACACGGTACGAAATTGAATGCGACCTCTCTTGATCTTAACTACCAGAAACAAAACATTCAAGAGTATGTGAGCCATTTGTTTTCAATACTGTGAAATAAATCTTTCTACGTGAAGATGTTTGTGTGTGTGATGAAGCGAGCCACGACATCAATATGATTTCACGTCACGTGGCTTCGTCCAGTTCCCCTCCTCACTTTTCAAATGTTATTGCCTACGTGTTTCTTTTTTAACGTTCAAATTAAAATGCCCCTATACATTTTTTTTTGTCAACAAAATGCCAGATTTTCACATCTTCTACGATTTCATGCATATAGAATAACTAAATGAGCATGGAAAGAAATCTCATAAGTAGGAAATATCGACATTTAGCATAGAATTCATGCATCTAATTAATCTGATTAGCAAAAAAAAAATTCAATGGTTTCAAATTTTCTTCTTCCCAAAATGATATCATTCCTTGTTTACAAAAAAAAAATATCATTCCTAACTTTTCCAACTTTGGTGGCATGATGATAGTCCAATAAAAAGAAAATAAACATTCCATATAAAATAAATAAATAAATAAAAATTCAGAAAATACTGGACCTAGCATTCACCTTCACCCACTCTATAAATACTAAGGTGATCCAGAGTTCACAAACCATCTCTATCTCATTCACTACTTCTCTCCCTACTCCGGTCTTTCTTTCACTTGTGCAAACCTAATCAGAAATGGCAACGGCGTCGTTTGGCATGCTGTCAGTGTTCGCCGCTCCTTCCGGTGGATTGAGCTCTCACAACATCAGAAACACAAACCAAGTCTTCTCGAAGAGGAATCCTTTGGTGGGAGTCAGATGCATGGCTCAGGTATACAACACCTCTCCTATTATGCATCATTGTCCCTAGGTTACTTGTTTAACTTTTTATTCTGACTAATCGTTGCGTTAACCCTTTTCCTTAAGGACGATCCTATCAAGGACGTAGAATCTCCTCTGCCTTCGACCTCGACCACTCAACCGGAGAAGCCGTTGTATTCTCCTCCACCACTTACCAAGCCTAAGGTATGATCTAAATGATCAGTCATTAATATAGTTCGAATTTTCTTTATTGTATTTTAGTCATGGTTAAATGCATACTAAATAACAAGAATACCCCACGGTAGACTTCAGAGATTAATTTGAGTTATTAAAAAATATTGTTACAAAAGTCGTTCATTATAACTTCATTATGCAAGTGTGGGTTTGAATGATTTGTCAAATGTTTTATAGGTGAGTACGAAGTTTGGAGATCTATTAGCGTTTAGCGGTCCAGCGCCGGAAAGAATAAACGGGAGACTAGCTATGGTAGGGTTCGTAGCGGCGATTGCGGTGGAGCTTTCGAAGGGAGAGAACGTGTTTGCTCAAATCTCAGACGGTGGGGTGGGATGGTTTCTAGGAACAACGGCGTTACTAACGTTGGCATCGATGGTTCCATTGTTGAAGGGAATAAGGGCGGAGTCAAAGTCCAAAGGGTTTATGACGTCAGATGCCGAGCTATGGAATGGTCGATTCGCCATGCTCGGCCTCGTGGCTTTGGCTTTCACCGAGTATGTCACGGGCGGGACTCTTGTCTAAGTCTTTTTTGTTTTTGTTTTTTGCATTCTTGTGTTGCCCTTTAGCTATGTTTTAGGGGAGAGTTTGGAGGATGATATATTGGTAAGTGAACCATAGTTGTTTCAAAAAAAAAAAAGTTTATTGGGCCATAGATTGGTATATTTAATATGATTTGAAAACCTGTGAAACTGTTGTCAGAAAATCAAAATTTATTTATTTATTGGTTCAGTTAATTACAACAAGAATTTCTAAAGGATTTCCCCAAAATTGGGGATTTGGTTAACACAAACTCTCTAAAGTCTAGACTAATATTTGAAAAATAAATATCAAATTATTAGAATTGCACTATTTTAATTTCGCTATATTATAGAATTTCTAAAGAGTCCTAAAACATTATTTTCACATCTTCAAATAATAAATTCCAAGTTATTAGTGTTATCTATAGAACAATGAATTAAAAGAAAAGAAAAGTTTAGGTTCCCCATTAGTCAAAATTATGGTGTTATATTATTCACAGATATCCCTTATATATTAATCCTGAAGCATTCATAAATGCACAACCTTGGAGAGCATGCTTACGTGTCAAGCTCACAGAGCTTCTCAGTTTTAATTTTTTAATGGACCAACTTTGCTAGAAATGAAATAATGTAACATTTAATTTCTTACATTTAGAACTATAATATATATACATTTTTAAGGGACCAACTCTGCTAGGTATAAAACAATATATTTTATTTTCTTAAATAAAAGCTACGGAATTACCTAATATGATTAACATATATATGTAATTAGTGATTATGAATAATACATATTTTTGTATCCTCTCTCTTTTTTGTTTAATTTTAAATTATTAAAATAAATTAAACAATCACATTTAAATATATAATAAAAAAATAATTTTTTTCTTATAAATTAGATTTTTAAATTTTTTAAACGACCATAAATAACTAAAAATAGCAAAATCCCACATTGAAAATTTTATGATCAATGGTTTAACTTTTTTTTTTCTAAAGAAGATACAAATTATCATAAATCGTACGAATATGAAGTATCATTAGTAGATATTCATACTATAAATATGTTAATTTAAAAATTTCAATGAAAATGTTTGAGGTTAGTAGATACAAATTATAGTATACAAAAGATTTTTGTAGTTTGTTTTATTTGCTTCTTCTTTTTTAATATCTTTTAGTTTGTTTAGATAATTTAACTAATTTTAAATTAGATTTATTAATAGTTTAAATATTTTGTTTTTTTGTCAACTTTTAATGTTTAACAAATATTTTTTGGGATGATTTCAGATATTGGCTACAATCCAATCCAAACTGAATTGAGAAGATCAAATCGAATCCAATCCGATAATTAGTAAAATTCAAATAGGATTTATGATAAAAATACTAAAATCTGAAAATACGTGTCAATCAAACTAAAACCGACGAAGTCTCAAACGTCCAGACCTATGATGATTTAAGATACCAACATTTGCATTCATCATTTTATAATCGATAAATATTGTAGTATTGCAAAATGTTAAAAACCATTTAATGAATAAATATAAGTATTGAAATTTTTAAAAATATGTTAATTTAAAAATCTAGTTTACACTATTATTATCTATGTGTATTTGGTTAGAGAAATTTTTTTACTAAATTTTGTGTTTTTTGTTATGTTTACAATGTTAAAATACATTAACATTTTTATGTACTAAAATATAATGATTTCTAACAATCCAAAAACAAAAATTTATAGATAATCTCATTATTATTATCTTCACGGCAACAAACAACAATTTTTAGGTTTTATTTTGTTGTAACAGAGGTGACAAAGAAACATATGTAGGAAAAATATATATGATCATAGTGTCTTTCTCATAAAAAGGACACGTCAAAGATGATAAATAGAGACTAACAGAGAGTGTAATTAAGTTTACAACACATGCATACCAAATTCTCCACATCCATATATAGAAGATATCCAAGACTTCAAAAGAAATCTCTCTTTATTGTAGGCCAAGTTTATAGATCTTGCTTTTTAGATGTAGGATAGAGAGCACTCTCTCTCTCTCTAAGCAGATGCGTTGACGGCATTCTTCACGAAGTTATCGACATACTCTTTCCTGTACGAACAAAAACAATTAAGTTTTCTTGCTATTGTTAGGTTCGGATAAGAGAACGAGTGTAAAGGTATGCTTTTGATGAACTCAATGACATTCTTACCTTGCAGGAAGATGGTCGTGTGGGCGATTGTATGGTGTCCACACAGGTTCACCCACGAAAAGCCTCATTGCCTGTTTGAACCAGAGCTTATCTAAGCAACCCAAAAACATATAAGATAAATGACTTGCACATATGTAGTAGTTATGTAACCTTGATATAGTTGTCTGAATCCACGGTGAAGCGATGATAAATTCCAGCAGGCAAGACTATCATTCCTCCCTTCTTCACCCAAACTCTGATCCAAGCTTCGTTGCGATCCCTCACATCAAAGTAGCCTATTTCCAAGGGAAATTAAACATTGAGGTGTGATGACCAATATCGTTTTTATTTGTTCTTTCAAATAAAGTAGGCAAAAAAAAAGAGAGTACGTACCACTTCCTGCAACGCAGTAACGGATCTCTTCATCAGTGTGCAAATGTTCCTCGAAAAAGCTCTTTACTTTCGCTTCATAATTTGGAAGCTTCTCAGGGCATACCTCACAAAAGTCCTGAAATTCAATAAAACACTTTCCTATCGTCAAACCAAGGTTCGTGCTTAAAACATATCCAGAAAATCAACAACTGATAATTCGATAACGTGAAAAAGGCCAAGGAAAGAGTTATATGTTCACTCCACACAGTAAGAACACAAGCTGTAAAACTACTCAGTCTTGTTCACAAACTCAACTAAGAAAGAGAGAGAGTGAAAAAAAACTGTAAAACTGCTCGTATTGTTCTATTTAATAACTCAACTCTCAAGTTTCAACCACACCCCTAGAAAAATCTAACCTTTAAACAATTCACAAAGACATCCTTAACTATATACCTAAACCCTTTTGCTAAGTGCTCAATACTCACTTTCTAACAGCTAATCAATTCTGTTAAATTCAGCCCTGTGTTTTAAATGGCGCATGGCGCTTTAAGGCGAGGAGGTTAGAGCCATGCGCCTTGCGCCATGGCGCTCCAAGGCGCTCGCCTTATGGATAGAATGCATTTAAACGTGGGTTAGTTATATACAGCTATAGAGGAACTCAGATATGCATTGATAGATGTTCCTAGGTCAGAAGTGTGTGTATGTGTTAGCTACAGACGTGTAACTAGTCTATGGTTACGTATACAAGATAGTTATAGAGTGACTCATATACAACACTAGTATAGTTAGCTATACCAAACAGTCTTATACACATTAACATAGTCAGCCACTAGTTAGTCATGCACACTAATATAGTCAGCTATGTAAACATTGATAAAATCCAAGGCACCAAAACAAAGAACTTGGAAACAAAGAATTTTCAGACGTTTATTAAAGAGTTTTCAGACGTTTGGTTTAGGTTGGTCCATCTATTAAATTAGGGTTTCTGCCTGGTTTAGTGTCGGTTAACGCATAGTCTCCATGGCGCGCCTTTGCGTCGCCTTTTAAGGCACGCCTTATGACCAATGCGCACCATGGCGAGCGCCTTAGGGACCACCCCCTCGCCTTGGAGGTCCATGGCGGTAGGACTGTCGCCTTGGTGCGCCTTGCGCCTTGGCGCAAAAGGCGCTCGCCTTTTTAAACACAGATTCAGCCTTAGGCTAGATTATTGCAGACCTATAGATACGGCTTGAGCAGGTAAAAATCACTCGAGACGATTCATTCTAAGATAAAAAAAATCCATAAGGGTCACAATCACACAAACCATGTAGGAGTAACCACGAGACTCGCGGATCTTTTTCAACTCCTCATCGGTCTCGTAGTTATCAGCATCAAGTCTCCAGCTAAGTACTCCAAGCTCTACACAAAAAGAGAAGATGTAAGAATTATAGAGATAGATAGATAGCACACAAGGTCATTAATAAAAGACAGACACAGAAACAAACCTGCAAGTTTGTCCAAGGAGATAAATTCCTTAGGATCCTTGTGGTGAGGAAGTCTCTGATCTTCTTCGCTATCATCCATGTACCATGCCTGAATCACTTCTTCTCTTCCATCCTTTTTAACCAAAAACAAACACATGTCCGATTTAGTAATTCAATCTTCAAAACAATTGGAGATAAGATGATCGAAACGAATTAACCAAATCCTAAATTGCAAAACCGGAACCTAACCGGAAAAGAATCGGCGATTCAACAATAATTATCCGATCAAAATTAAAAAAAAAAAAAAAAGCGGAGGAGGAGAGGAGGAGGATAAAAGATACCTTCACGGCTTCACCCATCGTCGTTTGTTCTTTGTTCGTCTTCAAAAACCACGCTAATGAATGAATAAAAATGTATTCCTTCTTTTCTGAAAAAGATAAATATAACAAAGAAAGAGTTGAGTTGGGTTTGGTTTCTTTTGTAAAAGACTAAACTACCCTTAGTGGTCGGTCAATCCCAAAGATGCGTTTCCGACCAATCTCTCTCATTCTCATGCCGTAGATTTTTTAAAAATAAACAAATAAAGATGATCTCGAAAGAGATCACTGATTAGTAGGATTCAATTCATGATTGACAATATTTAATACACGTACTAACCCCAAGCTCATGTTTCATCACCTCGTACGTAGCTATGGAGAAATAAAGTTTTGAAATCAATAAAAGAGGTCTCATTTTTTTTAAAAGGAAGAGGTCAACATTTACATAATACAAACCGGAGAATAAAACCCCGCCATTCTCTCAATCTCTATGTTGAAACAGAACATTTCCGTGGCTAACCTAACTCAAAACTACAGACCCAAAAACAAACAAACAAACAAAAAAAACAGATAATCGAGATCACAAGACTTCTCTCTCCTCCACCCCAATCTTAAAGCCATGTTTCTTCCACACCATGAACATTCCTTGTCTGCTTTTTTTTTTAAACTTTGGCACTTTGTTTTTGTCTTCTTCTCCTCCTTCGTGTATTGAGCTTCTTTTGCATCGTGTCAGATATCTAGAAACACAATCGATGAGCGTTTTGATGGAAAACCGTTTGAACTATTTATAATTTTGATTATCTTCCTACCTTCACTGTTTAGATCACAGTTCAGATCAACTGAGAGATTGGGGCTTCGTGTCTGGTTTTCAGGCGATTGGTGTTCTCCTCCTGCGCTGCTGCTAAGGTTTTGTGAATATGCAGCAACGTTCATCAGTGGCTGGCTACGATTCAGATACATGTCCAAGCTAGTTGATGCAACTCCTGAAGCCTTTTTCGACTTGAACAACCTTCTCCTCACAAAGAAAACACACACACATTAGTATTCTTCGCCCAATCTTTTGGAGACAGTATTTGTGCCTTTGTGGATTGTTTCTTTGAAGGTACCTTTCCTTCCGCTTTTCACGATATCTTTGCAACGACACTTTTCTGTTCGCCTGACCCTCCGCATCTTCAGAAAGACCAACACACAAGAACTACTATGGTTAACATTTAATAAAATAATAGTTCATAGTATCAAGCAAAAGAAGCAAGTCAAGTTTATTTGCCTAAACAAAACACGAATTGCCGAGGTGAAAGTAAGCATAATTAGAATAACAAGGATTCTATATCTTTAAGATAATACGAGAGCAGTGTCTGTACCTGAATCACGAGAAGCATTAGCTTTTTCAAGGCCATAATGGGGATGCTCCACCATCTTTATTTCTGCAGAATGAAATCAAAATGGAATCACAATGTCATCTAATTATCTATTAGTTCAAAACTTGATTCTAGAAATAGAAAGTGGAATTTTAAACTAGACGAACATCTTGGCACAAAAAGGTGCTAAGATGTACTACATGTGTAAGAAAAGCTGGAGATGCAGGTCCATTCACTTTTCCAGTTTGATAGAAACAAAATCATTTCAAGTTTAAACCATCCATCTACCAACTGACAAAAGCTTTGGTAAAAGCTTACCTTTACTCACGGGCCTGGAAATCATTGTACTTGAAGCAAAAACACCATTTTCAGGCAAATCAATTGAATTGGCTGCAAAGTGCATGATTGACCGCGCCTGCAAAAACCAATATACAGAGAGATGCAGCATAATCAAATACATGCTATCAAGGTTTTCCCTTTTTAGGCAGGAAAGAATAATGTTAATTCAGTTACCTTTTCAGGTGGTACAGCATCATATACACTAACTTTCCCACTATAGAATATCGTCATCTGCCCAGCCAGCTGCGCACTTGTTTCCGCTGGGCTTCTGCTGTAAATATTACAGACAGAATGTGGTTAACACAGAGTAGCAAGCACATCATAACGAGACCATATATTAAGCTTTCGTTTATACAATACATAGACCACCCTAATAAAACTCATGTTCGTAAAAAAGCGAAATTCAAAGCCAAAATCATTAACCAGTGGAGTAAACAACCGTATTTTCCATTAACTTGCAATGATGACAACAAGTCATTTCACCAAAAACACATAAGACTAGGACAGAACCAACAAGATCTGGAAACACCAACTACAGATACATATACATACTCTTATGGAAAGGATGTGACTTTAATATATAACATAAACACTCCCTGAAAAAAATCCATTACCCACACAGTTTCCATCTCCAAGGATGTGAAATCAAACTAAACTACTTCACAAACAACATGTAAAGGGGTGTGTGTAGTATTAGATAAACCTGGGAGAGAGTGTGTTGTGTATGTCTTTCTCAGCTACATAATGAGCAGAGCCACCAGAAAACTCAGCTGACCTTGGAGAGTCTCTCCTAAGGCCATCATCTTCCCGAAAAGGAATCTGGCCACCACAAGCTCCAAGCTCGTTGCTTAGTTCAGTCGACTGTGTTGTTGTCACCTGTGAAAACACACAAATTTTCATAAAAATCAGCACACAAAACCAAAACCAAAACCAAAATCGAAGTGGCGGAAACAGAAAAGTAAGCTCACACGAGAGGGATTAGGAGGTTGAGAAACGAGGATCTTGCGGAGGATACCGGCTCCAGAGTCATCACCGGGCTCAAACAGAGCTTTGAGGGATAAAACTTGCTTGATCGCCTGAGATTTGTTCCAAGAAGGTCTTCGCATTCCTGTAACGACACGTGTCAGCCGCCATTCTCAGGGGAAAGGAGAGATTAAAAAGGAGAAATTCAAAAAAAAAATTGGCTTAAGCAAATGATGTTTTATGTTATGTTCCTCTGCAATAGATCTTCCCTGTCGGAAGAAGTAAAACAGAAACTGAGGAAAAGACAAGAGGGAAGGGAACCTTTGTCCTTGAGGAATTTGCGGCAATCTTCGCGGGTGAGCTGAGAAATGTCCTCTTCGGTGAGTAGCTTGAGAGGCTTCTCGAGTATTGACTTGGCTGAGGATACTCCTCCTCCCTCCATCTCCGGCCAAATCTAGCTTCCACCGGCGGGAGAGCTTAGAAATAATAATAATAATTGAGGGCAAAATCAGGAAGAGCGTAAGAGAGAGAGAGAGAGAGAAAGGGAGTGAAGAGAGAGGGGTCTGGTCTAATAGTGAGTCTATGGGCTTCTCAAGTTTTGGGGGAATGGTTAGCGAAGCTCCCTAGACTGCCACGTCGGATTTGTGTCTTTCTGTTTATTTTTATAACCTAATCATGCCTTCCCTAACTACTCTATTTCCTTCTACGATTCAATTATTCAATCCTATAGTTTGAAATGATTTCTTTTTTTTCTTAATTGGTGTTAGATGATTCTTCTATGAATTAGATAATTTCATTTGATTTTTCTTAAAGCTACTCTAAAGTCTCACTTAGAATTATAATATTTGTATATGTGTTTTTTAACTACAAAGTTTCACTCAAATACTCTAAAATAACTTGAAATTTTTTAACATTTACAACTTTAAATATTTTAAATAAAATTAGATTTCAAAATAAAACTTTTAAAAATTTAACTTTTGAATAATAATGAATTATAATTCTAATACAAATCACACCAAATTTAGGTGAATATATACTAGATAGAGTTAAAAAATACACAAATTTTAGTTCAAAAAAAATACACAAATTGATTATGTAAGATAATATTTAAGATTTTGGTATTATCTAAATTCAATCAATATTTTAGTGGATTCAAAAAGTTGAAATATAATATCTAAATCTCAATTAATATCCAAAACATTCAAATGTCAAGTAAACTTCAAATATTTAATTTAGTGTTTATTTTAATCTAACAATGAAAACATTTGAATATGTGATATTATTGATTAAATCTGAACAAATCTAAAATAGGTTTTAAACAAAATGATATGTAACCCTAACATACATAAAGCCTGAATGGATCTATAATGCTGAATCATTAAATTCAAAAAAAACAAAAAAATCCAAAAATGAAGTAATATCAGGTACCTAAACTTCATTTTTTAAATAATTGAGTCAAACATTGAAATTATCTAAGAGCATCTCCAAGAACAACTTCATATTTGAGGTTTGATAAACCTTACATTTGAGGTTTATATGTGTTATTCTTCAATGGTAAATCTTAAAATAAATCTTCAAAGTTTTAGATTTTTACATTATAGCCTTTTACTTCAGACAAAAATCCAATAAATGATATATTAAAATCATAAGATACAAGGATCAAAAGAATATAAAACTTTAAATATAAGATTTTGTATGATGAAATCATGTGTATAAAGTTTCACTTTTCAAAACTTTATAATTTGAGAATTTGAAGTTGATTTTGGAATACATGAAATCTTATATTTGCGGTTTAAGGTTGCTTTGTGGTGGAGATACTGTAAAAGTGACAGTTTATGTTTAATTTTTAGAACAGTAGCACGAGTGAAAAAAGGAGAAACAACACAAAAGGAACAGGAAAAGAGATTATTTTGATAGACTATTTCTGTATCAAAAGAACAGACAAGAAATACTGTTGTTGTTTTTTACTTTAGCTTTCGGATCGGACTTCGTATGTAACGCACGTTTCATTTTTTTCTTTTGTCGTGAGAGAACATCTATTGCATTAACTGCCGTCCAATATAGGATATGTTATTTGGTAATGTACATCCTGTAACTTAACCCAAAGTTTGTAGATGATTTATACACATTTAAATGAAATGTCTTACCACATAAAAAACAGAGGACTGATCATTTTCCAAAATCAATTGAAAAATACAAAGAGATTGAATAATAAATTGACAAGAAGGAAGAGGAGAAATAGATCTTCACATGCCAAAAGCCATTGAGTCTGACAACATTGACTCCCCCACATTAACCAACCTCCTTGGTCTGGCGTGTGACATCCCTTCTCAATTATCATTATCAGACCCAGGCCCTATGTTTTTCGAACCATATTAAACTATTTCCATATTGAGGTACTAATCCAATTTGATTTATATGTTCTTTTTTTTTTAATTAAAGTGACAATGCATGAAACATGCAATCCAGTGATGTATTTAACAAAGATATGCATGGATCAACAAAGACTTACCTAACCACTAAAACTCTTGGATAACTTAGTATTAGTTGAAGGGGTAAAAGGTTTGTCTACCTCCTAATGAAAGTTAATTTTACATAGCTTGGGTCTTACCTAGAAAAATGTATGACCCTTCAGGTCAAGAACATCCTAACCATTCAAAAAAATGCAATGCATGATTTAAATCGAACAGTTAAGCTTCTATAAATGTCTATAATATTTTTTTTTACATTTAGATATTATTTAAGAGAGTTAATTGAATCTTTTTATCACGAATTTAAAGTATTTATGAAAATGGTTATCAGTTAAGGATAAATTTGACAAATGATATCAAACTTGTGGGTAAAATTGAGATTTTCAGCAAAAAAACATTTATATTTCTTAAAATATAATTTTTTAAAAAAGTTTTGTTTCAAAAAGATACATGTTCTATGTTTTAGATATTTTTATTAGTTAATTATGATAATCTACTAACCTCAAAAATTTAATCGTACTTATTGTAATAATATTGATCTAAATCGTTTAAAATTAATAAACACATATATAATATATTTCTTATCAAAATTTAATACATTTTCTCAATATATCTAAAAATATATAGTTGACAAAGAATATTTGAAAATATATAAACATACATTTTTTAAGTGGAGCATTCTTTTTTTAGTTAATCTAAATATATCTTGAGCATATGGAATAATCCAAAACTAATCTTCAAGAGGAGATGCAATCCATTGCTGGACTCTCTTTGGATCTTTAAATATGTTGAAAATAATGACCAATATCTATAAGAATGCCCATAATTAATATGATTTAGTTTCATGATGGATCATATCTAAGATATGTTGACATCACACAATAAGCGAGTGCATTGTTAAATGTATTAATAAAAATAATTAAATAATATCGTTATTTTTGAGAAAGAATATTATAATAATATATATGTATTAATAAAAATAATTAAATAAATCGTTATTTTTGAGAAAGAAAACAAAATAAGCGAGTGCATTGTTAAATGTATCGCATCAAATGATAAATTTGTATAGTGTGTGACTGGTTAAAATGAGTGTAACCTAGAGTAAAGAGGTTCTGAATGGTAACATGCGGGATAATTGTAATCCAAGTGCGGTGCAGTTCAAATAGTAACAAAATGTATAGATACATAAGTATATATAAAAAAATTGTAACTATTTACAGCGGTGCAGAGCGGGACGATTGGTTACCCTTCGAAACCTAGTGAATGAGTGGGAATAAAAGAAAAATAATAAAGAGAATAAAAGATGAAATAATAAATTAATAAAGACAAAAGGAGGTGAGAGGACATCAATTTTTACTCATTTTAAAACAAGGGAAAACTTTTTAATCTTTTCAGCTGAAAGTAAATGAAAATTATTTCTGATGTATTCAACATAATTGGTAGTAATTAAGTAGAAAAAACAATATCTACTCCAAAATTATGTTAATTTACTCCAAAAATGCCATTCAGTTCTACCCATAGTTTTGGATTTACATAAGAGAACAGTCTTTCAGTAGCTTAACACACCACTTGTAAACTTCAGTTTATTCCTATTTACCCTATTTTTATTATATGTTACATTGCAATGAAATTTCAGCACTTGTAAATTCAAGTCCAATGGGCTATAATCAATTGTACATATGCAGTAAGTAGCCCATATCTTCCAATAAATTTCAGTTGGGAAATATAGACTCATCCTTCTGTTCTTCTTATTTTTTTGTTTGGGGTAAAATTCTGTTCTTCTTATTGTTTCAAGTATCTTTGCCATTGTTTTCGTGAAGCATATATATATTAAGGTTTTTTCTTTTACCAACGGCTTACTAAATACCCAGATATTATTTTTAAAATGATATGTATTTGAACTAAGTGTTCTGATTATTATTTCACCCACATTTTTTTATATACACAAATATTTATTTTACATTATTAGTGACATTAGTCATATATATATATATATATATGTGTGTTTATAAAACTACTACAAACACAATAATTTTATAGTTCACATGTTAATAACAATTGTTTCAATAGTTGTTATTATATATTTATCTTCTTAGATTTTCATTTGATTATTAAATAAATTAATGTAGGCATGAAAAATCATATTTGAAAATTATTTTATATTAATTTATACTAATTTAGCATTTTTTATTTAGATGATATAGTATTGTATAGATAAAAGTTTATATGTTAATTTTATGCATGTGTTATATAGTTACTAATGTTAACATGTTCTACCAGAATATTATATTTTTATTCTTAATATTTTCTATTTATGAAAATAAAATATATTAATTTTTTTATTTAATACAATTTTACTATAATAATTTTCTTTTAATATGATACATTATAATTTTATAAAAGGTAGATAAAAAGGATAGAATATTATTTTTTATTTTATAAAAAATAACTAAAAATATATATTAATGTATAATTATATTCTTTACTAATTTGAAATTAGTGAATATTTACATAATTTTTTAAAAATTTAGATCTTGTTAAATCTTTTTAACAGATATTTTGTAATTTTGAATATATATATTTATATTTAATATAAAAGATATCAAAAAATACTAAGATTAAAGTAGTTACAAATATTTTATTGTTAGTCTCAATATACAAGTCATACATCGCATTACACTACAATCCAAATCAGTAGAAAGACATATACTTATGCTATATATCCCAGTTAAGTAATTTGGGGTTGTCACAACAGAGAAACAAGCAATTGTAATGGAATGGTTGGTATCTAATCACAATTTATGTATAGAATCAAAATTATTAATTTTGTGGAACAATTACACATGTGCATTATCAATGTATCTGAGTAGACTACATTGACGGAGGACATCCCTCATTGCAAGAGACTCGAGAGACTTAATGCGTTTAAATCCTCCTTTAAACTCATCCAACATCTTGCTTTAATTTTTCTATTTTCTATTTATGACCTATAGAAAAGCCTATAGATGAAAGCCAGATGTTGGATGAATTTTTCAAATTTATGCTATAAGCATTATTAGTGATATAATATAATTATTTTGGGTTATATCTTAATATTGTAGAATGGTCTTAGTTAAAATATTTCTTTAGTATTATCAAAACGTATTTTAATATTTAGTATTAATTTATAACTAAATATACGAATTTAGTATTATAGATTAATGTTTACTATTATTAGTTATGCTTATTAAATATTTATTTACTATAATTATAAATTAATATATATATATATATATAATTTAAATATGCACAGTTGTATTTGATAGAAGGATAACTTTATTTTATGATTTATAAAACAATAAAGGTTAAAATTGTAAACATATAAATGTGAACTTTTTTGTTAACATAAAATTTTATAATATGATTTTATATGAAAGATTTCTTCGTACAATTTACCTACACTAATATTCAAACTCATCCCTTGAAATTTAACATACAAATTCATGAACACCTTGCAAATATACAAATTGCAGTCTACGTCATTTCTAACACCTGAAAAACTCACTAATCTCATATATGTTATCAGAGAGGAGGGAGGGGGTGGGGGGTCATGAATGAGGTTTATAGACTAAGTTTCGTTGATGTGTTTTCCTGGACAAGGTTCCCATGTTCCCAATCATCTAACCATTTTTTTCTTCTTCCTCAGCTCAACACTCACATTGATATTGCCTTACCCACTCGCAGAGCCTTCAACTCAATCTCTATTTCTTCCTGCAACATCACAAGCTCACTATATATATTTTTTTAACTGACTTCTTACCCACACGCAGATCTAATTTGGTTTCTTTGGGTGGGATCAGACCCGGCTTATAATTTAAATAAATGGTGTAACAAACACAATGTGGCTTTTTACCCAAACCATAAAACACAATAATGTGGATTGTAGTGTACAGTAATTGAAAATTCAAATTGTGGCCAAGAGTGTAACTTTCTCTACAAATTGTTATCGTAGATCGTAGCTATAGGGTTGGTATAGTTATCTACGTAGTCAGTATTATTAATCTCCTTAAATAATTAGGTAAAATATACACATATGCATTAGAAAAAACTATTCGAGGTTGTTATATATAGCACAGAAAACTTCATCACGTACAGTATGGTCCCCCTTTCTATTCCCATGCAAAATTTATGACACGACAGTTACGTAAAAGCAAAACGATCTACCTCTTCCACCTGTCGTATTACAATTCGTTTGTCTCGAAAATCACAGTGACTGGATCATAGACCCCATTGCTAGTGTTGGTAATACAGTCCATACCCACGAAAACTCCCCTGGAACTACTCCACGTGTCCAAATATAATTGGCTCTTTTTTTGTGTTGACCTCAGTGTAAGAATAGTTGAACTTAATCAATAAGCTTTAGTTTCCACTCTATCATCACCTTCCTGGTTACTTCCTTCACAGAGAGAAAAAGAAAAACCAAAGACTTCGTTTTCTCTCTTCTATAAATTTATCTTTAATTCTTTCAAGATTTTTTCAAGAACAATGGAGAAATCTGACATAGAGAGTGGTGTAGTGATCGGTGGTAAGGAGCTTTACCCTAAGATGACGGAGAGCCCCGAGCTTCGCTGGGCTTTCATAAGGAAGGTTTACACCGTCTTGACTCTTCAGCTGATGGTGACAGTAGGAGTCTCCTTGGTCGTTTTCTTCGTTGACGAGATATCTGTCTTCATCACGACAACCACACCAGGCCTTGTCGTCTTCTTTGTCTCGCTCCTTCTTCCTCTTCTCAGTTGCGTCTCCTTTCACTTCTTTAGTGAACCATTATTTGTGCTGTTCCTAGTGATATAGATTTGGCTTTAGCTAATACTTGGGTTATATATACTAATGGTCTTTTCTTTTCATGTGTGTCTTTGTAGTGTTGTGGCCACTGATTGTGTTTGCTAAGAAGCATCCCATCAACCTCATCATCTTAATGCTCTTCACTCTCTCCATCTCTTTTGCTGTAGGACTTTGCTGCTCCTTTTCTAAAGGTATGATTATATTTATATATAAGGATACATGAGTTCATTTTGGACTGCTTCTAGTATTGTGAGTGTACTGATCAAAGACAGATTTGTCTCAGGTACTCTTAACATTTTGCCTAATATGTTCTCTGTTTTGAAAAATGATGAAAAGATTTGTTCATTTTTAGATCCAGATTTTTTATTTACTTGCATTTTAATCTCACCAAAAATACATGATGCTGTTAGCAACTTTAGAGATGAAGAACAAGACTAACTTTGACTTGTATTAAAATCTAACTCTTAGGGAGGATTGTTCTGGAGGCTGCGATTCTCACAGCTACAATGGTCGTGGGGTTAACTATATACACTTTCTGGGCAGTAAGGAGAGGCCATGACTTCTCTTTCCTTGCACCATTCCTCTTTGGAGCCTCCCTTATCATCCTTGTCTTTGCTCTGATTCAGGTCAATACTTACTAACTCTCAAACAAATCTGATTCATTCATAGCTTATGAGTTATGAAGAGACATTGTTAAGATTAATGAACAAAATGTTAATAGATATTCTATCCTCTGGGGAAGCTACCGTCGATGATATTCAGCTGTTTAGCTTCAATCTTGTTCTGCGGATTCATCGTCTATGACACGGACCAGCTTATCAAGAAACTCAACTACGACGAGTATATCCATGCTGCTATTTCTCTTTATCTGGACGTCATCAACCTCTTTATCCATCTCCTTGGTATTGGCATCCACACCTAGTGATTTCATACACACATCCTATCTGTTAAATGTTAATGTTCTCATGGTTCACTTAGAAGTAATTTCAGACACAAGCTTAAAAGGTTGTGGTTTGCTATATTTTGCTCTTAATGAATGGCTACATATATATTTTGTTAAGATTATGATAACTCTCAAGACTTTGCAAGGAATCTCTAGAAAAAAGAAATGCTAAATGTGGTTTGGAAGTATCGGATAACTCTATGTATTTCTTATGAAGCTGGAATCTCCCAAGCAGGGCTTTGAATGAATCTCTGCTCAGTTTTCCAATTAATGTTCTTTCTTCTGTTAAAAAAAAAAAAAAATCTGACGCCAATTCTTTCTTCTGTAATTATACTCTGTAAGATAGATAAAATCTGCCTAAAAAGCTGTAAGTTAGAAAATAAATCAAAGCAAAAATGTGGTTTAGTTTTTTTACAAAAAAAAAAAAAAAGTGGTTTAGTTTGGATTTTGGTTAAGTTGATATTAACCTGGTTCAGTCACCAAAACGCAATCCACTGACAAGCAATTTTCCAAAAAGGACTGGGTTGCGGGTCAAACCCGTCCCGCTGACCCGTTAACCCGCAGGTTTTAATTACTTTTTTTTGTCAAAAAATCAGATCCGCACAATCCGCGAATGTATAAATTTACATCCGCACCGCTCCGCGGTAACTCGTAGGATCCGCAGATTATTATATATATATATATATATATATATATATTTTTTTTTAAATAATTTTTTTTTTGAAAGTAATAAAAATAATATATTTATAATAAAATATATATTTAAAATAATTTCATTGTTATTTTTAAAAAAAATACGTATTTTAAAAAAAAAAATATTTATTTTTCCAAAAATAAATAACTTCATATATAGTTTATTATATAATAGAATAAATAAATATATATATATATATATATATATATATATATATATATTAATAATATTATAGAAGATAACTATGTATCATTCTAGAAGATTCTCATACCTTAGATAACTATTCGTATGTCCCTTTTTTGTTGTTATCTAAAGTAGATTCTCATTTGATCTCAAAACCAACCAAATTTGGATTATGTTATAAAGTAGAGCACAAGTAATTCAAATTGGTTGAGAAAACAAAAGTCGATCACTACATGCAGGATGTGTTCATTTAACAATACGGCACCGTTTCTAAAATATTTTAATTGATATCTAAGTGAGTAGCAACATTGTTCCTAGAGCAAGATAATTAGAAATTTTAAAATGTTCAAAACTCTCAAATAAAGTTTCTAACTTGTGCATTTTGTTGATATAATCATTTATACGAAACATTTTTTTCAAAAAATATTAAATTTGTTGTCAAAAACCTATTTTTACAGTTGCCCACTCTCATTATGCGCGAGTAAATACCACCGTCATCCTTTTAATGGAGTGACTTCTTTACATTTTTCCCAAAAAAGGAGGAGCGCGTTTTACCACAACAAGCGACGTCGTATCCAAAAAAGACTTTAAATCAACGAACCGACCTGATTAGCTTCTAATGAACCAAGTTAGATAACCGGTTAATTCCGGTTCGATTACGAGATTGCTTTGTTTCAAAATTGCAGAAGCGAGCGTGAAGGATCCCATCCCTTTCTTCATCGTCTCCATTGCCACTGAACCCTCACAAGCTCTCTCCCATGGATGTTCCAAAAGATCAGATCGCGACTCTAATGGAGCATGGCCTCTACGACTCCGCCCGAAATGCTCGTAAACTTCTCTAAACCCCTTTTAATGAAAACGAGGTTAGTTTAGTGTTCTTATTGTTTTGATACAGTTTCATAGGAGCTCATGTGTGTCTAACTTTTCTCTCAGGTGAGATTCAAGATTGCTTCTTATCTCTCTGCTTCTCACATTATATATTAGTTTTGTATAGGATGGCTAGAAGGTACGAGCAGTGTTAGATTTGTTAATTTCTCCATGATATTTTGGATTGTGTTTCCCATAAAATATCAGTATTCGTTTTTCTTTGCAAAGCTACACTTGAAAGTATATGAAGGTTTGAAATTTTACAAAGATACGACTATGAAATTTCTTCAATTTTGTTTCTATTTATTTTCCTTTATTTATTAAATATTAGTAATTAAGTTTAAAATATATTAATCGTATTTTAATTTATAGAAAACAACTGTTCTTATAGAAATATAATATATATGTAATATAAAAATATAAACTAATATATATATATATATATATATATATATCAACACTTAATTATTCCAAGTTAGATAATTTAAGAAAAATATAACTGTATAGAATATATTATGTTAATTATTCTAGCTATTAATTAGGTATTTGAAGTGCTTAACAAATAAAAAAATTTGATGACATCAGAGTACTATTAAAGTGATTTACAAAATGAAATAATGTCAAAAACATATTTTTTATAAATAAATAAGGAGAATTTCAAATTTATTCTATTTGTTATACCACGATTCATGTTTACCTTCATCAAATATTATCACAAATATTTTCTTCATTATAGAGGAAAAAGACTCTTCTTCTACCTTTATTTTATAGATAAATAAATATAAATAATAATTTAAATAAATAATAAAAAAAACTTTTGTATCTTTCAAATTTTACTATTTCAACTTCAAATTTTTGTTTACTCCTTTGTTTCAAATGATACATGTTTTAGGTGAGGACCTCAGATCTGAAAAAAGAATGAAACAAGTGTTTTGACTGCAGAGAATTTTCGCTGCAGAGACCTGACTTTGGGTTTAAGGGATGAATCTTTCTGAACAATCACTGATTAAACCGACCGTTTATCCAATTTCAAGAACACAAGTATAAGATATTGCGGGTGTTGATGGCTTTAGAAAACACATGATAAGTTGTTTACCATTAACCAAACTCATTCTTCATGATTTATTTTGTCTTCTTCTTTCGTATAAAAAAAACATGTGCAGATGATTAGTAGATTCTTTTCAGCAATAACGGGACAAAAACGAAGCATATTTGGAGTTCCCAAGAAAATGGACTCCTCCATAATATAAAACATTACTATCTTTTACTTCAACTTTGTCTTTTTATACAAAACGACCGCCAACAACAACAAACCTAAGAAATTAAACATAACAGTTCACCCCACTAAGTTTTGTTTATCAAAATCCAAACCCCACATCCGATTTTGAAACCTTCACTAAGTACTGAAGTAGGTCCATCACATTCCTATACCCACCCAAAAACCATTACCTTAAAAGAACCCCTAAAGTTTACCAAAGTTTTAATTTCGACCCCATAAGTTAAAAACGCAATCCCATACTACGCAGGCTTTAAGGAAAAGTTTATTCACATCCTAAATCTCCTTTCAGCAGCAATAACAAGAAGCCTTGAAACACCTTGGGTCCACATATCATACTCCCTCTGGCTCTTGCACTCAAATTCCACGTCACCTCGCAGTACAGTCTTCAAACCAAAGTATCTCAGATCATCTCCTCCCTCCAGCAAATGTCGTCCAGGCCACGCTGGGACATTCTTGATCACTTCAAGCACAATGTCTGAAACAAAAATTGGAATAAAGCTAAAACAATTAAAACAAAGAGTCTTCAAGTTCACATTCATAGAATAGACAAAAAGTAAAAGATTGCGGGCCAACTTTTGATTTGATCTTATAAGTCACTTTAGTCGCATACACTTTTGCTTTTTTTTTTCATTTTTTTTTTCTCCTCAAATCCCCATATCCAAAGCAGACCCACATCAACGTTTTGAATTCTCTTTTACCAGGGTTCACATATAATTGACAGTATATAGTGACAAAAAAAAAAGATAAAGCTTTCAACTTTGGTACTATTGAGTGATGATATCAAACAAAACAATTATAAAACATTTTTTTGTTTTAAACCCCATTTAGAAGAATCATCTTTAATGTCTTGGAAGTAACTAGATAAACCTCTTATCAATCTTTTCAGGTTTGAATTTAAAAATCAAATTAATGAAAAAGAGATGTTATTATATGTAACAAGAGAAATTAAAATGATATCTTACTCTTTTTCTTCTTGGTGAAGGTTTTCCCAACATGTTTGCTCTTCATTTTCAGCGTAACCTACAAGATCAATACTCAAAACAAATCAAAAACAAATTGGTGATTCTCAAAGAAGATGCTTACACAAAAAAGGACAAAAAGTGGATCCCATAACTTCATCATCATCATCATTTTTATAGCAATGCTTTTTTCTTTTCTTTTCTTTTTTTACTAGCTTTAGTTTTGTTTCTACTTTCTCTTCTTTTCCTGCAATTTGAAATCTCATTTTCTCATCTTTTCGTGTGTTTCATATTAACAAAGTTACACATCCATGTGAAGCTACTAAAGATTCCCACTGATTATCAAATAATCTGTCTCTCTTTAATCTTTTTGATCAGATCAACGATCATTCCCCTAAAGTGAACTAATCTCGAGACACCTTAAGAATAAACCTTTACCTGATTCATCTTGTTGATGTAAACAGAAACTATTTTCCAGTGAAGATCACCTGCAAAAGTAACACACAACTCATTAGACAAAAGGCTTAACAAATCTAAAACGTAAACTAAAGAAGAAAAAAAATTATAACTTATTCTTACCTTTGCGAGTACGTTTAAGAAGTTCACAACCTCTAGCAAGCCACTCTCTGCTACAAGTTCCCAAGAAATTCTCTTGCTGAATAAGTTCCCCACTGTGACTACTGCTCGAGCTACCGTTACTACCATTGTGAGCATTGCTGCATCCTCCAGTAGAAGTGAGTCCCTTGTCCATTGGAATCACTGATGCAATGTTCCACACTTCTTTCATCGCCCTCGCCTTCAATGTCGCCACTCCTCTTAACGCTGCACCAATAAAATCAAAATTAGCCAAACATCAACTCTAACGTTTTCTTCAGCAAATTCAGAACCATAAGAACAAATGACTCGACTTCTTCATCAAGTTTCCAACTTTAAAGTCAAATAAAAACCCTAAAACAGAGAGTTTTGAAAGCTACTAGACCTGTGGCAGCACCGGCGGTGAGAGTCATGATATCTCCGGCAGAGCGAACATTAACAGCAGAGCTAACAACAGAGGCCAAATGCTCTCTCTCAGCTCCCATCAACTCAGCAGCCTCCACACACTGAGCAGCCACAAGGGTCGCAGCAGAAGCAACCGCCATGTCGGTTTTAGCCATCTGCTCATCCTTCCCGGAGCTAGAAGA